CGCCCCGTCGTGATTGGACGGCGGCCACACACTACGGTCCGCCGCCGGGACACCTTACACCGGCGCCCGCAACTTCCCCACAAGGTCACGGCTGCCGCCCCTCTGCACTCTGCCGCCCCTGGCCTGCTGACTGTGTTTAAGTTTTGATGTTCTTCTGGGTTTTTTCCTCAATAAAAATCTTTGTAAACCAAAATCAATTTTGGGAATGTATCAAAACTGGGGCAGACAGAGTCTGAAGCTGCTGCCCATGGCAACCAATCAGCTTCTAGTTTTTATTTTCAAAGCTTAACTGAACAAACTGAAGAGGGAAGGTGATTAATTACTATGGGGAACTGCTCCAGATTCTGTCTGCTTCAGGTTTGATACATTTCCTTCTCTGCCTAAAGGATTGTGATGTCACCCTCTCTAGTGTAAAAACCAGGTGAAATGTCCCTCCAAGTGTCCCTTTTTTTTAGATATCATGCATCATTTGTACATGGTAGGTTGGGCCAGGATGTGATAAACAGACATTGGATTTCAGTGCAAGGTGTGCTGTAAATACTACTGTATGTAAACCTTACTGCTTTTTTTCTCCCCTTTGGTCTGAAAGTGTTTAGTTATATCTGTTCCATAAGTGCAAAAAAAAAAAAAGGCCTGTTAATCCTGCCAGAAATCATGTGAGCTGATAACTTTCCGTGCTGGAAGCTGGAAACTCTGCTTATTGTTATCAGTTAGCATTGTTCTCAGTTCTGTCTGTGAACTACAGAATATCTCCCCTCTATGTTATGGAGAAAATTAGAGGTGGATGTGATCTGGGTTTAGGGCGCACAAAGTGTATTTCTATGCCTTGTGGTTATAGGCGAATACATTTAACCTCCCTGGCGGTATTCCCAAGTGTGGCTCGGGGTTAATTTTCTGTACCATGAGCGGTAACCCCGAGGCACACTCGGGAATACAGGGTCGCATCTCTTATCTTGTCCGCGATCCCCGCTGTGTCCTCCGGCCGATGCCGGCATCCGTCTTCCGGGTTCCGTCCTATGCGAGCGCCTGCGTCACAGGGTGGCGGAACCGGCGGGAAGTTTAAAAGTTAGAAAAAAAAGAAAAACAGATAGAGCAATAAAGGAAAGAAAAAAATAATCATACCGCCAGGGAGGTTAAATGAAAGTTTTTGTGCCTAGAGTTGAGCTTTAACAAAAATAGCAATCAAGTACATGTCAGCAGTTTTGTACAGACAGACTAAGACAGATGTTTCCCATTACATTTAACTGCACCTTATTACATTGCTCTCTACATCATTAAAGCGGACCTTTACACTCAAAAATCAGAATTGTACCAATGCATCCCTCTTTGTATGATGATTAATAATGACATATACATGTCAGGTGTAAAATGATGTGATTCTGAAATACTTATACTTGCAGAGCATTCACTTCCTGCTTTGAAAGGGCAAAATTACTTCAGTTTGCCAAAGCAATGCATCCTGGGATTGCCTTGTCTCATTTGGAAAGACATTTCCCTCCCCTGAGATGATGTGCATGGTCACATGTCTAGTCACATGTGCCAGCTTTTCAGGCAGTTAATGTAGAGCTAGTAATCTGCCCTTAGTAAACATGACCACTGTCAGAAGACGGGGGAAGAAAAGAGAAATAAGGTATGCATGCAAAGCCGTCAATTATCTAGAAGTATGTGTTTGTAGATTGTCATTACTACACATTTCTAAAGGTGTGTTTGTTGTTACTTTAAAGGAGAACTATGGGGTTAAGGCTTTTCCCCATAGTTCTCCTTAGGGTAATGGGAGGACACAAACTAGCGTCCTCCCGTCACCCTAGGCTCAGTATACCGCGAGCTGTAACTCGCGGTATACTGAGACGCCGCAGTATACCACGAGCTGCTGCTCGCGGTATACTAAGACGCCGCAGCTGAAGCGGATCCCGACAATTATGTCTGGATCCGCCCAGCTGCGTGACTGACAGCTGGCTCTGCCTATATAGAGCTGGGAGGGGGGAATCCAGCCTCTTCCCTGTCAAGGCAGAGAGCCGTGACAGGATCGAGAAGTGAGCGAACGCCGGTATGTGTTCGCTCACTTCCCGATCTACTGAGCCGACCTGTGACAGTCTCATTGTCACAGGTCGGCTAGAACTATGAGGTGAGTGAAAAGCACTCACCTCATAGTTCTTCTTTAAAGAAAAGTCTGCCAGTGCCATTACAGTACACCATGCTATGTGTAACATTTAGATTCAAATATAATCTTGCATCGCTCTTTCTGATACAGTTAGCACAGCATAAAATCATTTACCTTGTCTTCATTTTGGGTCTCCATGTGATTACAAATCACAACTACTTGTTCTTCGGTTTTCTTGCTTTTCTTCCTCTCTAGCCGATCTTTTAAATGCTTGGGAAATCCACTGAAAACGGAAGGCGCTGCGTCGAGCCGTAGCCGCGGCACCATTGCCCCCGGACGCAACATGTAATCTTTGTCAGTAAAATGATCACTGCAGATTCTGCTGGATGCAGAAGGCTTCCAGTTTTTACGTCGGATTGCTGTGACCCACATGGACAGCCGTTGGGGATCTTTCATTGGAAACCTGTAAGAATTTTTACAAGAATACTGTATCTATAATCTGTTCTCATGGGTCAGCGCACTTAAACCTGATATTTTGTTTATGGATAGGTGCCAATATGTTTAGGGCTTGTTCACACCGAAAGTGGTGCGTTCCAAAGTGGTAGGTGCAGGAACGCACCACGATCTTCCCCCTGCATTCTGGGGCGGGAGGGGCCATGGCGGTGCATTGAATTCAGTGGCACCGCTTCCACACCCCCCCGCCCGTACCCGTAGTGTGATCGGACACATGGCAAAACTTTGCCTGCGTTCCGTTCCACTGCAAATGCAAAAAATAGAGCAAGCCCTATTGTTTGCAGTAGAACGGAACGCAGGCAAAGTTTTGCCATGTGTCCGATCACACTACGGGTACGGGCGGGGGGGTGTGGAAGCGGTGCCATTAAATTCAATGTACCGCCATGCCCCCTCCCGCCCCAGAATGCAGGGGGAAGTTTTGTGAGCGATTGCGGTGTGCGTTCCAGCAGCTACCACTCTGGAACGCACCGCTTTTCGGTGTGAACAAGGCCTTAAAGAAGAACTCTGGGTAAAACTTTGATTAACCCTTGCAGTGGAGCTACCCATCCTTACCAGCTTTTTGTTCTGGTTTTGCATAACTATAACATACATATAAACGAATCTGTTTACCGGAAAAATTGTTTCCCGCATCCTCTGACAAAGTGATTATTGCAGCCATATGCCACGCATGTCATCGGCATACTGTTTGTAGTATATAGCCTAAGAAATACAAAAAGTCACTTCCATGTTAATCAGGCACACTGTATGAACTAATAGTACAGTATGAGATACATTTACAAAACAGGACCTTAAACATATGTCTAATCATTTTTTTGCATTTACTATACAGGGACATTTTTACCAAGCCTGAAATAAAAACCTAAAAGAAAATGTAACTCATTTCACTCTAACACTGAAAAAAAAAATTGTGTTTGCGTTAGGCTTTAAAGACAACTTCACTGTAATAGTTTTAAAGCTGATGTCCAGGATAAACAAATATTATCTAAATACAAGAGTCATGTGTATTCTTACTTGGTGTGCTTTGTGTATTTTTTCCAGATCTGAGCAGTAATCCTGTGTGAAACTTTGCCGCTGTAATAAAGACCAGTGTCACTGCTGCTTTTTCTCCTTGTGCAGGGTAACGGGTCTTGTATCAGCCCCTTTCTATAGTTTTCTGCAGGCGACCTGCACTGGGTGGGGCTGTTGGCCCCCTCCTTCAGCTCTTCTCTGCACAGGTTATGTACAGCACAGAGATGATGTCACTAATACTTTTATATAGTGATTTTGGGTTTACAAATACATTATGTGCACACAAAGTGGATTTAAATGTTTGATTTAAAATGTTTGTGCCCGGAGTTCAGCTTTATAGGGGAACTCCGCACAACTTCACTATGCCCCCCCCCCCAGCGTCATATGGCCTTTGCGCAAAATAACTCCAGGCAGTGTGCTGAGCCTACTGCATATACACACCTGTTAATTTCCATGCCTGGGGCCATAGGAATGAATAAAGTTAGTGGCGCACATGCACAGAAGGCTTAGCAAACAGTTGGAACTTCTTTATGCAAAAGCTGGGCAGGACCACACAACGATCTCCGGAGAGTGGCTGATGGTATGTATTTAGTTATATGGCTTACAATGAGAAGGGTGGGGGAACCTGCAGAGGTAGACAAACTCCAGCCCTCCAGCTGACGTGAAGCCACAATGCATTTGCGTTTTGGAGTCATGCCTGAGGATCAGAGTTTGTCTTCTCCTATCAAAATATACATTAGAACAGGGGTACACTGTTCATTTCAAAGTAAACATGAGAAAAGCAACAGGTTCTCTTTTGCTGGAGGGACAGAGTTTAGCTACCCCTACTACAGGGCATATTCCCACCCATGTATGTGCATTGCAGTATGTGTGATAATTCACATGCATAGGTGTAGATGGGCCCTTAAAGTTTCCCCAATAACACAGTAATCTACAAAGTGTATACAGTATGTGAGCCAGCCACATAGGAAATAATCTACTAATGATTGCATTTTATTTTGCATAACGTACAATTATTATTAGGACCTTAAAGCACAACTTCAGGAAAATTAAAAGTTTCCCGCCAATGCAAGGGTAAACTGTTTATTTACGCATGGGGAGGGGGGTAAAAGCTGTGTACTTACCTGATCCCCACTCCTGCCAGCTCCCTTCGGACTCCAAGACCAGTCCCTCTTCTGCCTTCGGCTCCAGAGGTCTAAAGACTGCAGACATCTTCCAAGTACAATGCAAGCTCCATAGTCCTGCATTGTAAGTAAGGACGCTAAGGGACCGTCCACAGCTGGATCAGAGAATAGGAGAGCACCGGGCGGTAGGGGGGAGCAAGGATCAGGTAAGTAAAACAGCATTTTCCTGGCCCTTGGCCATAAACAAGCTGTTAACCCTTGCAGTGCGAGGACAGCCCCACTGCAAGGGAAAACCTTACTTTCCCCTGGAGTTGGGCATTAAAGCCGTCTTGACTGTGGTAACGCACATTTTTGCTGTGCATTACTACAATGCATGTAAACACACATCACTTTGTGTACTGCATTGTGGTGCCACTCATTCAGAATGCAACAAAAACACACAAAAAAAAATGTGAAGGGGCCCTTGAGGACTTCTTTACCTCATTGCTGATATCTCAGTCTGCAAATGTCAGTTGCCAAGCACCTCCTGGCAGCCGTGCGTTGCAGTGGAGGGCACGGTACTGCAATTTTGTGCGTTGCAGTGATAAATGTAATGCATACACTACTTTTTTTTGCAACGCAACACATGGTATTGCAGTATGGCACATTGCAGCTCCACCAGGAGAGGTGTTGGGGAACACTGTGTAATAGCAGATGGTACACACGTTTAGCACAACACTATGTCATGCACAGGCCTTTAAAGGTGTGAATACTATTTATATTGTATTAATACTCACAGTAATCAGATCAGGAATCAACTGGATTCTATAGGCTGCTGCACTCAAATGCAATTTAAACCCAAGAATGAATATGTACTGTATTGCCGATTAGCAATCCTTAGGTGTGGCGGCTGCATTCGTTTTCTGTTTCAGACTAGGACCATTTTCAGCAAGTACAGAAAAGATCTGATGGTCCTGCCAGAATTCCAGTGTTCTTGGAACTTCTTGTTAGTAGATAGATGTCACCAGCACACCAGAAGGATTAGAAATCCAAAGTGATCATTTATTAAAACATTATGTCATCAGAACAAACGCTTTGGGGCTGCGCAGGTCAAAAATCGTCATTGCTGAGCCTGATGAACACGACCCGAAAGCGCTTGTTCTGATGACATTTTAATAAACGATCACTTTGGATTTCAAATCCTTCCGGTGTGCGACATCTACTAACATTGTCTGGCGGCAACATCCGCAGTCAATACAAGCACCCACCCTAGAGTTGCCACCTTTTCTGCAAGCGAAACCCGAACACTCAAGCGACGTGTAGACATTTATTTTGGGAGAATGAGTGGTGGCTTATTCATATGTAAATATCACAGTTGAGACTATCTTCAGTGGGGGGCCAGTAGCCCCTATCTTAATTTTGGTTGCCCCTGTCTGCCTGGCATCATGTGTCTGGGTTTCTGCTGCCATGAAACCCGAACACAGCATTCAAAACCCGAACTGTCCAGGTGAATCCTGGACAGGTGGCAACTAGGGTTGCCACCTTTTCTTCCAGCGAAACCCGAACACTCTAGTGACACACTGAAATTTTTTTTGGGGGGAGTGAATTATGGCTTATTCATATGTACATAGAGTCACCCATTCTCATGTAAATATCACTGTCAATACTATTTTTAGTGGGGGGCCATTAGCCCCTATCTTAATTTTGGTTGCCCCTGTCTGCCTGACATCATTTGTCCGGGTTTCAGCTGCCATGAAACCCGGACACAGCATTCAAAACCCAGACTGTCCGGGTGAATCCTGGACAGGTGGCAACCCTAGTGGCAACCCTAACCCACCACCATCTTGTACTGGGGACCTCTGGTAAGGAGTGTGACATCGCAATTGTACATTTCGTCTTGTAACTTCTTGTACACCGAAATGGAATATCAAACAATATTTCAGATTGACCCAATGTAAACTACACAGCACCTTCTCCCAATGAAATGAAGATGAGGAGAGTAGGAGGTGTTTTTGGTCCAACTCAAGGGAGCAGCCTGGGGTGACAACGCTGCTCCTCCAAAGATACAGTGAGTGAGAGTTGTCACCCTAGGACAGGAAATGTAGGATCACCAGATAAAAATAAAGTGAAAAACCTTAAAAAGAAAGTAAACTAATGCAGCCAGCACATCTAAGAACTGGTAAGCTGCAATATATGAAATGTTTGTTTTGTGGTTTAGATGCACCTTAAGAATACGTGTCAACCTAATAAAACCGACATTAATACCCTCTTCTATATTGCAGAGTATACCCAATATTGCAACACGGAACTCTTGCAAGTACATCCGTTTTAGGAGAATATGCCTACCAGCAACATGGCGGACGGCATCCATTATCGGCGACATTTCTTACCGTCAATGAGATGCTACTTACCCTATTAACACATTTAATGAAAAATCCGTTATGTGGTTCAGTACATTAAATTCCTTATGACTGTGGGTCACCGCATTTGTGCCATTCGGGAAAAACTCTGAAGAAGCTGCTAAACCATTTTCGAGCGCCGAAGCATCAGGCAGTACACAGGACAGCTAAACGCAGAGGGTCCTTTTTCATGAACAGGCAGTGCGTGGGCAGCTCAGCTTGCGTCCTTGCGGTGTAGTAGGCAGCGTGTTGTTGTGAAGATGGATGATGAAGAGGAGACTTATCGGCTATGGAAGATCCGGAAGACCATCATGCAGGTGAGTTTTAGGACTAGGACAAGTGTGCTGGTCTATGTAGTATAATGTGTTCAACGAGATGCTGGTAATATACACGCATGTGTGAGGAGGGAGTACAGGAACACCGATCGCCTCAGTCTTCAGCAGTCTGGATGGCATGTGTTTGGCTGTGTAAAGTGTATGTAAAGGCAAAATGTTCTTTTATTTCGTTTTGGATAGGGTGTGGAAGAATTAGACCCCATTGTTAGGTTTTTGTTACTGGCTGTGTCTCCACTAGGGTGATTCACCTCTCTATTTATAACTATTGTCACCCAGAAAAAGTGAGGGGAAATCCAACCGTTACAGTTGTCCCCAGAGCATGGGGTAGGGGGAAACCTAATGGGGGTATCTCAGCTATCTAAGTGGGGAATTCCCCTTTGAGAGATTTCCTCTAAATTCCTGTTGTGTCTGGAGACAGACAGGAAGTGAAGGGAGATTTCCAAACGGGTACATGGCCACAATAATGTAGCATTTTTTTTTATCAGTCCCTGGTTTTGTTTTTGTTTTTTTCACGGATTTGAATGCAGTTATTTTTTTTGTTCTATGGTCCCATGCGCACAGTATGTAAAGATCAGTAAATGTGCTGCGTTCAGGTCTGAAAAATCTGCATCTGAGGTCAGTAATTTCTGCATATAAATACATGTACAAGCATACACATGTATGGGTATATTTATTGCAATGGAAGTTATTATTAGACAGGATTTAAATAGCGCCAACATTTTGCGCAGTGCCGTACAATACAAGCAAGACATTACAGTTACAATACACATCAAGACAAGATGGTAAGGAGACCCTTGTCTGTGGCACTAGAATTTTACTCACTTATATGCTTTACAGAGGTAGCCACTCGCCACCCGGCTTCCCGATTAGCAGGGAAGCCGTCCCCATGGTTCTCGTCACTATGTAGTGCAGGACCTTTAAGTTCCATGCCACCAAAAAAGTGGCACTAAGGTGTTATTGTATATGTCAGTTTATTGTTGAATGCATTGAAATGTAACATACGATTTTTTCTCTTCTCCTCCTGCGTCAGTTATGCCATGACCGTGGATATCTAGTGACACAAGATGAGTTGGATCAGACTTTGGATGAGTTTAAGGCACAGTTTGGTGATAAGCCCAGTGAGGGTCGGCCCCGGCGAACGGATCTCACTGTGTTGGTCGCACACAATGATGATCCAACTGATCAGATGTTTGTATTCTTTCCTGGTAAGTGTGTGTGTAATGTGTATTACCATTGAGTAATATTTCATAAAGGGAAGGTATAATGCTGGCTTGAACAATTTTTCCCAAACTCTAGGAGCTGGCCACAATGCCTATGTAGGTACAATGGGCTGGGTACTACATTTGGGGCAGGCGTAGATGGCCAATCAAGATACTGTCTGAGATCTAACTGCATTTGGTACGATTTAAGGTGCATTGCGCTGTGCTTGGCAAATAAGCTAAGCATATGTGCACATAGCAGGGCTGCTGCCTTTTAGAGCTCAGTAAACCTAAAAACAGGGGGTAGGGGGCTGAGTGCAGCCTGAAGCAAGTGGTGCACAGATGACTTCTTAAATGACTACCTATACCAACCTATGCTTTGCACATTCAGAACCTCCCCAGCAGCATGTACTTACCCTTCTTCACTCCCCACTGTCTATTCACCATTGAAAGATGAAGAAAATACCTTTCAGTTATGGAGGAGCATGTGACTCGCCCTATGTGACAATGCTGGGCTAATCAATATTATCATACAGGGGATCAATAGCCTTGTGTAAGTATGACTCCAGCTACTCATAGCAAAGGCCCATTCACATACACTGTGTGCACAATTATTAGGCAAGTTGTATTTGTGAGGATTCATTCCATTATTGAACACCTACAGTGCTCTCGGTCAATCCAAAATGTTAATAAACCTCAAACCTGAATATTTGGGTGTGCACAGTTATTGGGCAACTATTAGTGTGCAGGATTATTATGCAACTAAATATAAAACAAACCTTTTCCCATCTCACTTGTTTATTTTCATGTGAGAATAATAAACAAACAACTCAAACATTTCCGACATTTTCAAAAACAAAATCAGTGACCACTATGGCCCCCCCCTTCTTTTCAATAAGAGTCATCAGCCTTCCATCCATGGGGTCTGTCAGTTTCTTTATCTGTTGACGATAAACTTTTTGTGCAGCAGCAACCATAGCCTCCCAGAGACTGTTCAGAGAGGTATACTGTTTTCCTTCACCGTAAAATTCCCATTTAAGAAGGGCCCACAAGTTCTCAATAGGGTTTAGGTCAGGTGAGGAAGGGGGCCATGTCATTAGTATTTCATCTTTAAGGCCTTTACTGGCTAGCCACACAGTGGAGTACTTAGATGCATGCGATGGAGCATTGTCCTGCATAAATATCATGGCCTTCTTGAAAGATGCAGACTTTTTCCTGTACCACTGCTTGCAGATATTGTCTTCTAAAAACTGGCAGTAGGTTTGGGAGTTGATTTTGAGTCCATCTTCAACCCGAAAAGGTCCAACTAGTTCATCTATATTAATACCAGTACCCCACCTCCACCTTGGTGTCTGAGTCGAAGTGGAGCTCTGTGCCCGTTACTTATCCAGCCAGGGGCCCATCCATCTGGTCCGTCAAGAGTCACTCATCTCATCAGTCCATAAAACCTTTGAAAAATCTGTCTTCAGATATTTCTTGGCCCAGTCTTGATGTTTCAACATATGTGTCTTGTTCAGTGGTGGTTGGGTTTCAGCCTTCCTTACCTTGGCCATGTTTGTGAGCACTGAACACCTTGTACTTCTGGACACTCCAGGTAAGCTGCAGTTCTGGAATATGACAGCACTGGAGGATAATGGGTTCCTGGTAGCTTCACGTTTGATTCTTCTCAAATCTTTGGCAGTTAATTTGCGTCTTTTTTTTTTCAACACGTTTTCTTGCGACCCTGTTAACTATTTGCAGCAAAAAGTTTGATGGTTCTGTGATGATGCCCCAATATTGTAGCAATTTCAAGAGTGCTGCATCCCTCTGAAGGACTTTTTAAAATTTGTGACTGTTCAGAGTCCGTTAAATCTCTTTTGGCCCACTTTGCCCGAGGAAAAGAAGCTGCCTAATTATTATGCACAACTTGATATTGGGTGTTGGTCTCCTAAGGCCACACCCTGCTCATTACACATCTCCTGATATGCTTAAATCCAATAAGCCTTCAGGTTGGAGTTAGGACAATATGCCTACAAATGGTGATTTGGTCAAAATACTCACTTGCCTAATAATTGTGCAGAAAGTGTATTTTTTGTTGTAAACCGTTGTGCAGTGTGTTTTTAAAGCCACAGGCGTAGTGCACCACAATGCACAGATGTGAATAGTGGTGCACTTTGGAGGAGTACAGGTTTGCCATACTGCAACACACATTGATGTGTGGCATAACACGTTAACTTGTGTGCAGTAACGCACCACAAATATGTAAATCTGGCCTAATACAGGGCTTTCCTTTTAATCTCGGCAGCTTAGCGGAAGGGCAAGGAAGGGAAATGGAAGGCAAGCATATAAGGCTTGGTAGGGGGGAATTTAGTGAACCTGTTGGTTTGTCCCTGCATAGGCAAGGCACAGGTTTACATTAAGCTGGCAGTAGCTGAGGGTAAACATCATCTGTGAGAATCCCAATGTAATGCTGCTTACCATGTGTGCATTTTCCTTGTGAGTCCGCTCAGGGCTTTACACTGTAGCAGGGATAGGTCCCAGTTCACACACTGTTCACTCAGTAGTGCTCAGTCCCTGGGGTGGATACATTTCTTTTTTTTATCAATCAGTAACCATGTTCCCACCATGCCTTGGCAGTGTCCACAATGTAGTATCTTTGGAAGCATTTCCCGACTGTATGCACTGCTTTCTCTTCTCCACCCTCCCCTGCATATTATATTCTCTGACAGTGAACACAATCAGATGTCACTACTCTGTCCCCTCCATCTCTAATCAACACTCTGTTCTAACTCTGTCTCCTTTCTCCCCTGTCATGGTTGGCTCTTGCTTTACCAGCTTCTCTGCCCCCTAACCATGCCCAGTTTTAACTATTCCCCCAGTGATCCATGATTGTATCAGATGCAGTACTTTCTATCCCATGTCCATGATCCCTTCACACTTACCTCCTGTCTTTTGCCAATTCATTCCTCCTGAACTTTTTGTTTAACTTTCATCCTGATCAAGGTCTGCCATCTGTATTCTCCCTTCCGTAATTATGGACTTTCTCTTACCCTCCATTACATTTGATTGGCTCATGCTATGACTTCTCCCTCTTTCCCCCTCTGCCAACTACTGCTCTACCTTCTCTACCTCTCCCAGCATTTCATGGTTAGCCATTGCCTAACCCCCAAGTACAGGTTCCGCCACCATTCTGTTTCCTCTTTCTTTCTTTGTAGTCCATGGGAGCCTCCCTCTGCCTCTTCTCCCAATGGTCTCTGCCTTTATATCCTCCAGCTCTGTTATCAGTTAATGCTGTCTCCCTCTATAATTAGTTCTATTGAGATGGCACTATTGACCAAATAATGCATGTCCTGCGTATATATTGTCTGTCCAGAAACAAGTAAGAAACCTATACTAACTTGCTTATGAACATGCACACATTTTCTGATGTTCTTCTATACGCTGAAAACATATCTTAAAAAATGAAAATTGCTATAGATTCCTATTATTCTTGATTTTCAGAGGAGCCAAAGGTTGGCATAAAGACCATAAAAATGTACTGTCAGAGGATGCAGGAGGAAAACATTACCAGAGCCATCATAGTGGTGCAGCAAGGAATGACACCATCTGCCAAGCAGGTAACGATCCTCACTGCTGAGAGTATTAAAGACTATTTATAATTTTAAAAAACCTATAGGTTTCCTGTAACACAAGATAAAGAATATAGTCACTCCTTATGTGTCTGTAGTATGCAATGAAACCAAGTGCTCTGATACCTTCTTGTGGCTTTAGTCCAGACTGTTTTATGCCTGTGCCTTTTGTGTTCATAGCCTTGTGATCAATAAGCAATAATCTATAGATATCGATTGCCATTATAAAACACTACAAGAGGTAGAACAAATAGGCCAGAGCTCCTTGTAGCTGCACTGCAGAGGTTTTATGATGAGGGAAACGGGTACAAAAGCAGGTGGCATATGGACAGAAGAGTATTTGTAAATGATCTTCTTTAACACAGCATCATAGATTTAATTTTTTGTCAATATTTTTCCATTAATGTCTGCCGTCTTAACTCAACGCAGTTCAACAGTAAGTTTGCTTAAGGTGTACAGTCCTTCATTTTTCATTTGATGCTACAAACTTATATGCCCGCTTGAGGTCTGGTTTGTGAAAACTAATCTTTGAGATTTGCTCATACATAGTTCTGGTCAGATCCGTCAGAGTGTTTCCCACTTCTGGATTATGCATGTGTCAGACACAGATGGGTAAGGGCACTCATTGTGTGAGAGTGGATAGTGTTAGGTCAGTAATCTGTCATTTGTGTCTTGCCTTAGTTTTTTTTCATGTATTATTTGTTATTTTGTAGTCATTGGTGGACATGGCTCCTAAATACATCTTGGAACAGTTTCTGCAGCAGGAGCTTCTGATTAACATTACAGAACATGAGGTGAGTGGCATGTTGATGATATTGATGATGCTCTTATACGCTTTCTCTTTTTCTATTCACGTTTGAGGTAATGATAATGTGCATTTAGGTTAATACTACATTGAGTTATGCTTTTTCTGTACCTTTTATCATGCTTACATGAAAAAGTTTGGAACAATTTCTCCATTCCTGAATAGTCTGACAGGTGTTTAATATAACATGGGTGCAAAAATGGAAAAAAGGGCCTCAGTCATGAAGGGGTTAATATCCTTCCTGCTTTGTGTCATGGCTGTAGTATCTTGTGACATATGGCACAAGGGATTACCAATACACTGTCTGATTATAGAGCTTTTAGAGAATAGACAAGCACTAAAGGAAAAATAACCATATAACCTTCCTGGGTATGGGATGCTTTTGATTGTATTTAATATAGAATGCTCATATTTAAAGTGGAATTATACACCTAGAGTGAAACATTGCTGGCAAGCTTTATTGCAGAATGAATAAACTCAAAAGCAGAGCAGACAGAATCTGGAGCAGTTGCCCATAGTAACCAATCAGCTTTTATCTTTAACTTTCAAAGCTTAACTGAGTGAGAAGCTGGTTGGTTACTATGAGCAACTGTTCCAGATTTTGATAAATTCCCCCCTGTTCATGGATCACACTGGGATAGTAAGCCCCTGCTTACTATCCAGTCAGTGTGGTGTCATTTTGTTACATACAATGTATTATTACAGTGAGCTGCATGCCACACCAAACTTCAGTGATTTGTTCGCCCCTGTGTAAAATGACACTGACAGATAATCTGCAAGTGTCATTATGTAATACAGTGTAAAATGTATTGTAATATTGTAGTTACTATTTGTATGCAGATCTGCATATGACATCCGTGAAAACCTCACAAAAAAACTTTTTTTTTTTTCATCTTTTATTTTCTTTTTACACTTAACTTTATTGCTATGACATGGGGGACTAAGAAGCTCCCTATGTGATAGCTAATTTACATGACAGGTCCTCTTTTATGGAGACATCAGGGGTCTCCAAGACCCCTAATGTTACCTAGGGACCCCCAGAGAAGCTGAACCAGAGATCTGCTTCTCCCCAGCTTCTGAAGCTGGGAATGACAGCTGAATGCGGAAGTGATGTAAAATACATCACTTCCAGCATTCAGGACCGGGGAGGAGCTCAGAGGACTGACCTCCCTTTGATCTCCTGTCACAGAGCAGGCGTGCCGGTCTCAGCCACAGCAGTGACTGCGGGGGGTGGTAAACCCGTAGCTAATACGGGGGGTAGGGTCTGTTTACAGCACCGGCTTTGGTTTAAAAATTTAAAGCTGCAGGAGAGGTCTGACGGCCACATGAAATGGCCTTGCAGGCTGGATTTTGCGTGCAGGTCTTGTGCTTGACACATGTGCGCTAGGCTTAGGAGGGAACCAGCAAGTTTGATGCATATGCTGTGGAGATGCCCAAAGCTTGTGACCTTAATTAACAATGTTTATCAAGTACAATTACCTCTGGATCCCAGGTTATGATTGCTTCAGCTGTATAATCATTGTAGAGCCTACTTAGTTTGTTATGGGTACTGTGATGTGGTGGGTGATGATACTGTGTATTGAGTGACATTTGGGTAGGGGCGACTGCGGTGGATGCACAGGTTACTTTAAAGTGACATTAAACCCTCATATTTTTTAACATAAACCAATACTGTAATGTGCGCCTTACTGTAATCCATGGTTGTTTCCCTTCTCTTTTGCTGCTCTTCCTTTTAAATCTGTATCTCTTCTCATGCTTGGGGAGAACTTCCCTTTGCAGCTGAGTGCCTCTTCCTGTAGTGCTGGCTCAGGTTGTGAACCTACACACAGACACCATGTATCCATTTCAGAGACAAGGCAGTCTGCTGCAAAACAGAAGTTCTGCCCAGCATGAGAACAGATACAGATTTAAAAGGAAGAGCAGCAAAGAGAAGGGAAACTACCATGGATTACAGTAAGGCACACATTACAGTATTGTTTTATGTTAAAAAATATGAGGGTTTAATGTCACTTTAATGAAAATCTAAGCTATATTCCTCAATGCCAACAAAGAATATAAGACCACTTATATTGTGCACCAAATACCTTTTGCAAGCCCATTATTGCATTGTAAAAGTAGCTGTGACATCATCACTGTGCTGCACATAGCCTGTGTAGAGAGCAGAGCTGTGGGAGGGACCCAGCAGGCCCCACCCACTACAGGAGAAGGCTGAGACCAGACCAGTCTGTTCTCTGCGAGTGCGAGCTCACATTCCCCCCCACTCACAGAGTCGAATAGAAGTGACATTTCAGATCCCACTACAGGAGAAGGCTGAGACCAGACCAGTCTGTTCTCTGCGAGTGCGAGCTCACATTCCCCCCCCACTCACAGAGTCGAATAGAAGTGACATTTCAGGACCGATCATCTGTTCCAGGGCAGATCAGTTCTCCTGCACATACGATTTGCGATGCCGATCTTCCCTGGAACAGCTGAGAAAGCGTTGGAATGCGTCACCTATTGGCATTCACACATTCCACCGTGGAAAAACTGGGTGGGATTACATTGAAATGTGTGACCACATCACCGGTCACACATTCCAACCTAGTCACAAACTTTGATGGAACAGCGGCCCTGTCTAATTAGAGAAATAGATTATAATAGGCAACATTACAGTGTAATATTCCTCCATTATAATCCACTTTTCTAAATAAATGAAATAACAGCACACAGTGTGCAGTTACACCCGTACCACCAGCTGCACTTAGGCCCCTGGACCTAAGGGACCATGCTAGGTTCCAAAACGTTGCTTTGAGCTTGTGATGCCATGTGTATCTGATGTCAATAAAAGGACGGATTGATGCATTGGCTGTAGGTGTGCGGGTGACTACTTTTTCTACATTCTGATTTGTGCGTCACCATCTGCATGTCATTCAGCACCCTCCATTATATTACCATGGAATTCCGGTCTGGCAGTGCAATGGGACAGGAATAAATGAATGTTTGGGCAAACGTGTTGTCATGTCTACCTTTTGCCAGTAGGTATAGGTCTGGGTGTGTACTGGATTGAGACCTTGTCTGGCTGATTGAGGTGATATTTCTGATTGCAGAATGTCATTACATCACAGCAGTCCTTGAGTTAGGAGTACTTTTCCTTATTGATATTATTAGTAAGTTGAGCAGACCCTGTGTAACTTTGCAATAATGTTCATAATATACAACAACACAGTTTCTTCTCATCTGTTTACCACATTGTTATTTTGCTTTTAACTATAACACAGCAGAGGATATTTATATTCTATTTGTATCATCTGACCAGGATGCTGAGGATGAATCATTTGATCATTTGACACTTGCACAATAGTGTTCCCTTTCTCTCCCAGTTTCTCAACAATCTTTATAACCCTGTCATGTTTGTGTTTGACGTATTCCTTTCCTTTTCCTCACCAGCTGGTTCCCGAACATGTGGTGATGACTAAAGATGAAGTGACGGAACTTCTGGCAAGATAGTATCCTTTTGTGGTCTACATTGTGGAAGATGAGCGAGAGATATATTTTTCAGTGTTAACTCAAAAATCCAAATTCAGTCCATATCTTTTTTGAAGGAGATGTCGGCTTTGTTTGGATATATATTTATATATGGATATTGTATTTTAAAATATACTTAACCTAGTTAAAATAATATCTAAAGCCCTTTTTTTAGTTTTGAAAAGAAGGTAATAGTTAAAAATCATACCACTTTTTTTGATCTAGTGTATGCGTCCTATTTGGGAGATTTCGCCTTTACTTCTTGTCACCAGACACAACGGAAAGTGAGATCTCTATAGCAACGTTTCTCAACCTTTCCACCAGTCACGGCATCCTTTAAATCTATGCTATTTTATACTGGGGTGCCTCAAGATTTGGCACCCTTTTAACCACTTCTGGGCCGCAAATACGTCTCTGGACGGCGGCCCATTAAAGTGGTTAAAACAAGAACACAGCTGCTGCAGCAGCCGTGTTCATGGTACCGCTTTTAACAGCAGGCGATGGCTGTTAATGTGCAAGCGATCCGACGTCTGTACAGCCGCCAGATCGTTTGTACCGTGCGGCGCTGCCGTTGGCTTCCCCGGGCACCGCTGTCCCCCTGCGGCGCCCGGGAGCGGGTCTCCCCGCAATGATCGGAGACAGATTCAGAGGCTTCCAGCCACTGATCTCTCCTCCGATCACTGGACCCGGTGATGTGTATTACATGACTTCCGGTGTCACTCTTACAGTCTCCAGCTCTTAGAGCCAGGAGATGAAGCTGGTGAAGCAGATCTCTGCTTCTTCAGCTTCTTTGTGGTCCCTAGGTGACATTAGGGGTCTGAAAGACCCCTGATGTCTCCATAAAGAGGAACTGTTGCACCTATCTGCTATTACATAGGGGGCTTGTTAGTCCCCTTGTTGGGTTTGTTGTTTCTGTTGGCCCACCCCTCTTTTTTGGTACTGCTCTGTGACGTCCCTACAGTACATGATCTCCGATCTGTTCCCTGTGTCCTTCAATGAACGGGAGAGAAAATAGGATTTTGGTACTCACCGTAAAATCCTTTTCTCTCCGTTCATTGAAGGACACAGGGCCCGCCCCTCTATGTGGGTGTGTAATCCTTTACTGCTTGTTACTAAACTGGAGACTTGTCAGCAGGTGGGGGGTTTGGCCACCGGCAGGGGCCGCCCCTAGGCTGTGATTGGTCTTTAGTTTTTTTGTGCCTAGCGTCCTTCTCCTGCAGGTGGCGATATTACCCTACAGTACATGATCTCCGATCTGTTCCCTGTGTCCTTCAATGAACGAAAAGGATTTTACGGTGAGTACCAAAATCCTATTTTTGTGGCTTCATGGGTGAGTGCAATTTTAAGGCTAGACATGTTTGGTATCTATTTACCCGACCTGACCCCATCTTTTATATTTTGCCAAAAAATTGGGTATTCTGTTTTTGTGCGCTAAATTTTAATTTAATGTATTTTTTTCCTAAAAATACTGGTTTGATAAATGTTTGCGCAAATACCATGCGACAGAAGAAATTGCAACTCCTTCTTCTTTTTTTTTTTTTTTTTTATTCAACAGGGCCCTGCTTTCAGAACATATATCATTGTTTGGGAGTCTGAAGCTGTTTTCTAGGCAACAATGTATATTTTATCATGTGTGTGCAAATGTAAGAAAATGCCCCGGACAGCAAGTGGTTAAACGGGGCCCCCACGTTCGCCCCATCAGTATCTCCCTTCACATCAGGACCCCACTTTTGACATCAGACGTTCCTCTTTCATATGAGTGGCCCCCCCTACATTATGAGCTCCCTTCACATATTGTTCCCACTGCCAGGAAAAAATGAGGTACCCCTGAGGAAGCCAGAAGGCACACCGGGGTGACACAACACCCTGGTTGAGAGAGGATGCTTTAAAGTAAGAGAAATCCTTGGCACAAGTACCCCCATAGAAGGATTTTCCCTCAAATGTACTTCCAGTGACACCTCTATATCTAGATTTTCAGTCTTTGTGACCATGCACAAGTGAATATTACCAGCAAGGGCACAGACAAATGCCTGACAGTTTCTAACCCCTTACCACTTCGAACAGGAAAAAAATGCCTTTTAGATAGATGTTAAGGCTGAAAACCATGCTGTTGCCTTGTCTCTGCATGTTACCTTAACCACGTATTCAGTAAATTACGGGAATCCCAACTCCCTCGCATTCAGGCTGGAGACCCAGTGGCGAGATATTTTGGTTTAAAGAGAGGCCAGGTAAGTTTTGTGCTGTTGAAAGGAAACTATAATAGTGAGGGTTTATCAAAACTTCGAGCCAGCATTTAACCCTTGCAGTGCATGGGGTATCCCCAAGGGTTAATCATTTTCCATGGAGTTCTTTAGTTGCACCATAACGCACCTTGCCAATGCAGCGCCCCACAATGCACAGTACCATGCACACACCTTATTGGCAGCCTTTACACATTGCTGTGTGAATCTATGCTAATTGAAAGTATGCAGGGAACTGTACAGGTGGGAGAGGGAGGCGTGCTATGTCAGCTTGTGCTTTAGTCTTATAACTGTAAATAGAAACATGGAGCGCAATCTGAGGAAATATGAAATATTAATATCAAAGTGAAGGATTTCTTTTTTGTAGTTCTAAACCTAATGAATATATGCAAAACACAATACATTTTTTCAAAGTGCTCAGATATTTCCGTTTGAAAGCCATAGTGATCTGTAAAGCTCTCAAATGAGATCTGAAACACAAGAATGGCAAACATCCTGTTTTTTTTTTTTTTTGATGTGATGGATGGAGGCCGACACCGCAGAGGTTGTCTGCGTTTTCAGTACATGCTCAGTTTGATTTGCCCATGTTGCAACAGGATTACCTGTGTTTGGTGTGAATGGGGTCTTCGGCCTTGTTCTCATGGGTTTCATCTCATACAAAGAGTAGTGTGTACAGCAAGTTTTCACCAGGCATCTGCAAACTTTGTTAAAGCCTTCACAACACCATTGGCCACAGTAGGGGAGAGTTAGAATCCCTGGTAATGTTTTGTTTGTGTCCCTGTGACTTTTTCTCCTGGTGACCATTGTCACGGAGACAGAAGAATATGGAAAATCCAAATATTTACAGTTCTCACAAGAAGATATGGGAGGAAATCTTCTAATGGGAACATGTGTTCTTGTGACCACTGTTCAAGAGAGGAATCCCTCCCTGTTGGCTTTCCCACAGTTGAGGGAAATCTTCTCAAAGGGAAACGGACACTAAAAAAATTTGTATTTGTATTCTAACCCTTCCTTAACCTCCCTGGCGGTATTCCCGAGTGTGGCTCCAGGTTACTTTTCAGCACCAAAAGTGGTAACTCCGAGCCACACTCGGGATTACAGCGTGGCGTCTCTTACCTTGTCCACGGTCCCCGCTGTGTCCTCGGGCCGATGCCGGCATCCGTCTTCCGGGTTCCGTCCCTTGCGAGCGCCCGCGTCGCAGAGGGGCGGAACCGGCGGGAGATTTAAAAGTAAAAATTTGGTGGAAAAAACTGAGATAATCAGACCGCCAGGGAGGTTAATCTATTCTAAACCAAAAATAAATGTTTTAGCCATGCACATGTTTCCATGTTTCCCTTTTGAATACCCTGCAAATACAGGAAAATACCTGTTGGACCTGCCAGAAATGTACTTGGCTCCTAAGACCTATGTGGATTGAGTGGTGTCAGCCTTGCCTATTGTCTGTTGCTAAACTAGTCCCACTCAGATACAACACAAAGGTTAACCATTCTGAAATTCATGATGAGAACTGGAAGGGCTGAATGATCTCCATGGGTGTGGAAATAAAAAAAAAAACAAATGACTTGTCCAAGGGCTAAAGCAGGGGGCCCAATCTACTTGTCGTTATACAAAAAAGAATTGTAACCAAAACCATATTTAACCGTTAAGAAGCACTTCTCATTGGTCAGTATGGTCACCTGACCAATGGGGTGCTCGCAATTGGCGAGTGAATTCAAAATCAATAGCACAGGGCTGCGCTAGATGGCAGTACGGGGTACAGATAGTACACCTGCACTGGCAGAAGGGAAGGACTGTTCGCCGAAATTTAAGTATAGCAGAGGGGGAGAGGGGGCTAGATGTGAGCGGGTAATTCCATTTTCCCAAAGTAACTGGGAAAGTGAACTTGCTCCTTAATGCACATTGTGTGTGTTAGAGCGTTGCTGACCAGCTACCACAATGGGATACACACACACACACTGCCCTACCCATGCGTTTATTCGCATGCAGACGGCAGGGTTGTTTTCTATATATATATATATACAGTGGGGCAAAAAAGTATTTAGTCAGCCACCAATTGTGCAAGTTCTCCCACTTAAAAAGATGAGAGAGACCTGTAATTGGCATCATAGGTAGACCTCAACTATGAGAGACAAAATGAGAAAACAAATCCAGATATATATATATATATATATTTAATGTTGTTGTTTTGTCGCCAAACGTCCTATTTTGTGGTTGTACACTTCAACACTGTTGTCTGCTCTTCCACAGGTGGTAAAGATTATTCGTCCTAGTGAGACTGCAGGTCGTTACATTACCTACCGATTAGTGCAATGAGGTGTGAGTTTTCTTTTTACCCTGGAATACTAGAAACTTCTTGAGCAGATGTGCAGAATTTTTAGATGGAGACACAGCAGAGCGAGCCAACAGAAGAGACTCCAAGAACATGTCGTACTTATGATGAAAAGTGTGTGATGAAACACTTTAGCCCCTTGCGTCTATTCAGAATCAATGACCGTGCTTCTGTAAGGCATTCTTTCAGCAGACCCCTCTGTTTTTATATTGGGGGGAATTAACTTTATCAAATACTCTGATGCAATGACAAAATTAGGAGTATACTTTTGTATTTATCATGATTTGTTTTGTAAATGGGGCAGGTAACATTTAGCTTTTATAAAGTGGTTTTCATGCCTAGTACCCAAGAATGGAAAGCAAATAAATGTGCTTTGAAAACCGTTCTTTTTAGAAAAAGTGACTTTATTTCAAGCCAGTACACATAATACCAGACACACACAAGCTTAATAATTATATGCACAATCTTTTGTAAAGTCTCTGCACGACTATGGTTGCAGAGCTTAAGTCTGTTTTCTTGTACCATTCATGGTGAGGTTACACGATGTTCATGTGTATTCTGTACACACAAAGCTGAAAGCTGCTTCTAAAGAAAAGTGCCCATTAGGTGTCAAGCCCAACTCCAGCCAAAAGGCTCTGTCCCTTCCCCATTCAATTTACTGCTAGAACATTTTGGCGGTAGTTAGACCTTTTAAAAAAGGACCTCTGTCCCAAAGGAAGCAGAATGTCCTTGTCTCAAGCTGTATACTATTTCTGTGGCAGAGCAATTTTATTTTAATTCACCAAGCCAGTGCCCTGGAACTAGAATGCTGCAAGCGTTGGAAAGGCTGCCTCCCATTAGAGGTGGTTTGCTTTGTAACCGAGTCCCTTAAATCCCTCCTAGATTATTTAGATAACTGGGCTGCAAGGCACATAAGACAGAATTTAGTGCCCTATACAAACTGGGGATAGCGGCCGGATGAAGAGCTCAGTGTGGTTCTTCCTTGTAACAAACGGATGATGGGAAGGTGACGGTGGCAATGCAAAGGGGTCCTCATAACTTGAGCAGTCATTAGCACATTGTTAGACTGATTTGTGTTGCTTCCTGCCAGATCTTGACTTTTAGCATTGTCTTCTTCTGACTCGGACTGTACATCGGTTCCAATGAAGGGGATATCATCGGTGCCAGTCTCACCGACCTCTTTTGAAAGTTGAGCATTGGTTTCCCATTGCCTGGGCAAGTCTTCTCCACCATCTGATTCAGAATCTGAATCCACTGATCCAACTGACTCTGAAACAAAAATAATTCATTACTGGAAACCTGCAATGAAAAATATGGTGGCTGCCATTACTCTCCTGCAGGTGCTACTTGCCTGGCATACAAGCATGCAGAGCAGGAAAGTCACAATGTAGTCACAACTCCTGGTCTTCATACTTGTTTGAGGTCTGCAACTCAGTAGGTATTGAAGCGATTGGATCAGCATACACTAATAGCCAGGCAATTAGCTTTATCAAAAAAAAAAGCCGTCAGCAATGGCAGTTTCTTCTTAGTACAGGGTTCCTTTAAAAACTTTAGTTTTTTTATTCTTTTACCTAATCAAACATTCCCTGGCATGGCTAAACTATCACAGGTAGTGAATGGGCAACATTGCAATCTGGTTTCATCACTGTCACCTGTGATGGTATTGCTTTTGGAAAATCAATTTGTCATTGATTCAACACTCCCTGTGGTCTAAAGGCAATCCTTTTTTTTTTTTATTGGATTACCTGGTACTAATAGAGGATTTTTGTACCAGCCGTAAAATCCTTTTCTTGGAGCCCATTGAGGTACACAGGTCTCACCCCTCTGGGTGCATGATCATACTCCCAGTACTGCTTGATACAAAACTGAGGCATACTTGTAGTAGGATGAGTTATTCTGGGCTGACCTACTCCTTCTCTACTTTTTTTCTTTTTCATTTGACAGTGTCCAATCCCCCTATAGGCAGCAGTATAACCTGAAGGTGAATGACTTCCTGTGTCCCTCAATGGATTCCAAGAAATGCATGTTATGAGTACAGAAATCCTTTTTTTTTTTTCTCATCCATTAAGGGAAGTCCTTTACTTGCAGGACGTCCCAACAAACAAAAGTGGGGACTGCCTGCAGCCCAAAGAGGCACTTGAAGTACCTTATGTCCCAAGCTGGCATCAGATGAGATCTCAACATCCACCTAGAAGAATTTAGAGAATGTTTTTACAGAAGACCAGGTGGCAGCCATGCAAATCTGGGAAACTATTGCTCAATGCCAAAATGCTTTCATATTTTACCATAGTGCACCTTAACAGGAAAGGGTGGATCCTGATCCTTGAGACCATAAGCTTCAATAATGGTCTGTCTGAGCCACCTAGAGATTGGTGCAATGAGAACCTGGTGCCGTCTTATTGGGACCATCCAGGATGATCCCACGGTCTGGATCACTTTCAGGTAATGGAGGGAAATTTTCTTTTGGTGAAGTTGGACAGAGGGATGGTGAAACAATGGCTCTAATGAAAGGCAAAACCTACCTTAGGTGAAAAGGAAGTCCTGGGCCTCAAAACCGCCTTGTCCCTATGCAAAACCAGAAAAAGGCTCCAATGTGCAAAGAGAACCAGATTTAGTTCTCATGGAGTCACAGCTAAACAAACTGAGGGAGCTTCTTGTGAGACTCCCTACACAAAAGTCTTAAAGAGTGAGATGCCAGCGGTATCTAAAACATGATAGAAAGGGCAGAAACCTGATCTTTGATCGTGATTAGAGCCAAATGCTCGCAGTGAGCAAAGCATGCCTTCCATTTCTAATGAGACCTTGCCGGAAGTAGATTTCTTAGATTTTAACATTGTGGGAATCACTGATTCAGAGGTACCCCTGTCTTCCAGAGCCTTGGATTCAACAGCCATGATGTTAAAGCCAGTGACCCTGAAGCCATAGGGTAAATGAGTCCTTAAGACAGAGCAACCAGATGATTTGGTAGAGCACATAGGAGTCTTTAACAGGTTGGAGTACTGTGTCCGCCAGAACCAATCCTTTGCAATGAGGATCCCCAGAATGCCCTCCATTTCAATCCTGCAAAGCGGACAAGGAAGAATGTTTAGAGAAGGAAATGCATAGAGCATGGTGTACTGACTCAACAGAGCCACCAGAGCATCCATTGCTTCCATCAGAGGATCCTTCTACCTGCAGACAAACCTGTCCTGTTTGTTGTTGAACCTGGAACACCTCCAGGTGTAGCTACCACTCCCGTGGGTCCATATGTCAACTGAGGAAGTCTCCCTGTTAGTCGTCTACCCCTGGGCTATAAACAGTAGACAAGGTTGGAACTTGAAGTTCTGCCTAGGACAGGAGCAGAGCTATGTCTCTTGCTGCGGGCATGCTTGATGTATGCCACCCCTGTGGCGTTGTCCAACTAAATCTGGATTGGGTGACCCTCCAGGAGGATGAACCATTCACAGGATGCAAGGCATCCTGTGAACGGGCATGGGGAGATGAATAGCTAATAAATGACACTATCATGTAAAAGAGTGGCAGCTCTTGTACACACAGCAGCCAGAAGTAAAGCAGTGGTGGTACTATCTGGCAAGAAGAAAAGTGGATTTTTATCGTAAACGGCAGCAGGATGCACAATTAGTACAGGTAATTTTTTCCCCACATAGGAAATGATAAAAATGTGTCTGTGCCTGCAGTTCTGCTTTAATTTGGAGTAGGGATGCACCGATACCACTTTTTTAAGTACGAGTACCGATACTTTTGATCAAGTTCTTGCAGATACCAATTACCGATACTTTTTCTTAAAGGGACAGGTAACATTTTTTCTAAAGCAATACAAACTAATGCTTTAAGGTTACTTTCTTAATATTATGATTCATGAGATGACGAGGGAGCATGACGTCGGCTTCCCAGCCAATCAGAATGCCGGGCGCTGCGTCATTACACGGCGCCCAGCTTCCGGATTTGCTATCTTCCTGACCAATCGGGAAGCCGGGCATCGCGTCATTGCACGCTACCCGGCTTCCTGATTGGCCGGGAAGTCGGCTCCATGCTCTCTCGTCACTTGTGATGAGTGTGTCCTGGCCAATCAGGAAACCGTGCAGCGTGTAATGATGTGCTGCCCGGCTTCCTGATACAGGAAGTACTCGTGCTAGGTATTGGAACATTTGGGCGAGTACAAGTACTCACCCAAATACTTGGTATCGGTGCATCCCTAATTTGGAGTAATGGTAGAAGACTGCTGCCCCTTGGGGGCATGGTTATCTAGTAAAAACCAGAGCAACTCTGAGGGTTTGGAGGCCACCAAGGCCATGGGAAGATCAGATACAGAATATGAGGGGGGGAAGCATGGGAGCAAGCTTTTTGCCTCTGGTCAGAGCCCATAAATAACTGGGTGATTTTGGCCATAATGTCTTGCTTGACTATAGTAAAAACCCCAGCCGAAATGGCAGAAGAACCAGCCACATATGATGGAGCTAGGGAAGACGTAGAAGATGGGATAGGCATTAGAAGCAGAGGGTAAAATGATTCCAGGTAGCAGTTGTTAGGTGCATCAGTAGGTTTGCTGCAACAGATTGCCGGACCCAACCACCCCCCACCATGTCTACTGTAGAATCAAACATGTTGCAACCATGCGGCAGTAAGGCTTAGGATATGAGGCAAGGCCTCAGGTGCTCACAAAAACCAGGAGCAGATGGCCAGAGCTGACAAAAGTTACTGTAAGCAGCCAGCAGGAATCGAATAAAGTTCCTTGTGGTTCTTTGCAAAGCAACAGCAGCAGTGGTGGATGTTTTATCGATGCTGAATGGGGGGAAAGGGTGTGACACTCTACCCAGCAGCTGATGTATGTGCTCTATCCCATGGCATTAACCTCTTCTGCAGTGAAAACTCTCAGAAATGGGGAAATTTAAAGGCGCCTTGCAAACTATGTACTTGAGGTAACTATTAGGGCTCAGCCTGACTGGTCCATTAACAAAGTAAGTCCGCAGTGCCGAGGCAAATGCTGAGACAATGCCAGTGGCTCTGGATCTGGAAAGTGCTGTGCAGCTATCTTTTGCCAGAATGGAATCTGGAAAACACATTACACAGAACTCAGTGCTCAAAGGTCACTTCCAGACTAGCAACGTCCAGTCCAGATGCAGCACTCCAAAAGCCAGGCTGAGGATGGCTGCACTGGAGAGCTGCAAACCAAGAGACTAGCTTTAGCTGTAATATAAAAACAGTCTTGGCTGAAGAAAAAAAAGTTGAAGAATAAAAAAAAATGGCTACAGGAGAGCAATGAGGGATGACTTCATCAATTTACTTCTGCTCCTTCATTGTTCAATCAGAGGATGGGTAGATTTTGGACCAGGCATAAAGGCTGAAGAGCGGTAGAGCATCTGCCAGGGAAGTTTGGATCACAAGACTGGAACAGAATTTCAGTTTGTCAGGTTAAAAAGTTTAACCCCTTCGTGACTGACGACGTACAGTGTACGTCGCCAGCATCGGGGCTGTTTAAACAGACTCCCGGCGACTTTTGCCGCCGGGACTCTGTTTAAACTTGTAGAGCCGACTGTCGGCTTTACAACAGAAGCGATCCTGGCGACTTACCTGTCGCCAGATCGCTTCTGCGTCCCGAAGAAGGGGCCGCCCCCCCCCGCCGGACACCCCCGCCGTGCTTCCCGGGCTCCGTTGCCCCTCCTACGGCCCCGGGACCGGCGTCCTTGGTGTCCGCGGGGAGCTGGGGAGGAGGTCGACGAACTTCCGTTCATCGATCCCCTCCCCGTTCTATGGGACCGGGAGCGATGCAGATTGCATCACTTCCGGTCCCTGGGCTGTCAGTTCTGGGCTCCTGCAGCCCAGCTATAAGCTATTGAAGTGCGATCTGCACTTCAATAGCTTATTTCCAGTGTAAAGGTGACACTGGGGGTCTTTTGGACCCCCAGCATCACCTTAAAGAGTACCTGTCACCACCATCTGCTATCACATGGGGGGGCTTGTAAGCCCCCCCCCCCATGTGATAGCAGTCAAAGTAAAGTAAAAAAAAAACCCAGTTTTTAAAATTAAAATCAAATAATAATAATAAACAAGTCCCCCACGAGTCGCCACGTAAACACGCGTCGGGTGCGCCTACGTATGAAAACGACGAACGCGCTACACATGTTGGGTATCGCGCGCACGCCGGAGTGAGAGCAACAATTCTAGGGCCAGTATATTGGGGTACCTCTAAATTGATGAACTGTGGGGGCTTTTAAAGCGTCTTCTGTGGACTTTTTGGGGTACTGCAGTTTTTCGCCGTTTCACAGACGCACGCAATTTGTAAACTGGGCATGTTGGGTATCGTTTTGCTCGTTGTAACCATCTTTTATATTTCATTAAAAAAATTGGTATTTTGTTGTGTTTTGGGGCATTTAATTAAATTTGGGGGTTTAATAAGGAGTTGCGCTAATATTGCGCAACATAAAAATTTGCAACTACCACCATTTTATTCTACAGGGTCTTGGCATTCAGAAAATATATAATGTGTGGGGGTTTTAAGTAATTTTCAGGCCTAAAATGTGGAATATAACATGGGTGCAAAAAAATGAGAAAAAGGCCTCAGTCATGAAGGGGTTAAATATATGTATTTCAATTGTGTGTTAAGTTGCTTATCTGGAGCTTACGTTCAATGGCAAATTATTCTTAATTCTGATAGATTCTTAAACAACTTTTTAAACAGTTGTCAAAGTTCTTTTGTTAAAAAGCTGTTCTGGTGAGCATAAATCATAATAAAAATATGGGGGTATAATCAGACTGTATACCTATAGTCACTGTATGACCAAGAGCCATAAGAATTGTAGCTGACGACCAGCTGTAGCTTAGGAGTATGATATTCAGACAAGGTAAACGAATAAAATCCCTTTGTGCCTTAACTCACCTCTGAATGTTGTGTTTCGGTACTCTCTGGCCACACTGCTCTCCTCTTCTTCAGTAGTGACTTGAAGCCTGGCGACAGCTCCTTCTGAAGATGTGTCCTACAGAGAACAAATGTGATGTTAAGAGAACAGTTGTGAAATATTTCATGAACAGTAAATAGATTATATTACTTACATCACTGTTTTTCGAAACCTTGTCCAGATCTAAGGGTGGCTCCTCAAAGATTATGTCATAGAAGACAATGAGTGCCTCAATAATTCGTGCTTGATGAGGATAATCCACAAGGGATGACAGAGATACAGTGGCCTCTGTGGGGCGTGGTCGCATCAATGCAGGCCCAAAAACGATACCTATGTTGCTTGGGCTCATCTTGTTCTGTTGTTCAAGCTCTGAAACTCTGCATGGAAAAATGATCTTATGTTGGTATTTACCACAGACCTGTCAAGGACTAATGGAGGCTGCCATTGCGGAACTCCCTTGTTCCTGGTCTGTGATGTAGAAGTACTGCCAGCCTAGCATTTTCAGGAGGCCAGTAATGGAGGCCCCATACGTCCTGCATTACTTTAAAGCCTTGGTTGTCAACTGGTGGGAACCCAAAAGTGGGTCACGACCCTGTGTTCAGTGGGTCGCTGCAAGCCTTCCACTTTTCTAGGTGGGAGGCTCCTCTGCCTTCCCCTAGCGTAGCACTGTCAGTTCTCGCCCCAAGCAGCCATTCAATATATGCTGCCCAGCACTGAGTGCCAGCTTTACATGGGGCAGGCTGGGGCTATGGCTGCGTGGGAGCTCCATCCATCCATCCATGCATTGCTTAAAGCTCCCTCATGTGCCTGTAGAGGTGCCTGGACCGGAGTGACATCACAATTTGGCTCTCGACACCTCTACAGGGTGTGCGATGAAGCTGTACAAGCAATGCACATATGGATGGAGCTCAGTCACAGCACAGCAGCCCACACAGGACCCCAGGCTAAGGATCCACTCCCGTTCTAGTAAGGTAGGGAGACTGGGTGGACCTAAAAAAACAAAACTGTGAGAATGTGTCTGTGTATGCATGTCTGTCAGTGTTTCTGAGGGCCCGTTCACACTAGTACAGTGCGTCAAACTACCACGCAATCCCACCTACTGTGCATTCTGGTGTGGGAGGTGTGTTGCGTTGCCATTAATTTGAATTGTACCCCAAACACACCTTCCACCCACAGTTCGTACACCCGCACCAGATGCGCTGTACCCTAATGCCGTGCATTCCATTGCCGTGCGACTTGGGTCGTGACTTAATGGCCAAGGACAAATGTGAGTCCTGAGGTTACATAGGTTGAGAACCACTGCTTTAAAGAATACCTGTGCTTTGTCATAGCAGTGCACTTTTACACAGCAACTACCCTTTATTCATGCATTCTTATAATTGTTCTCCTTCAGGCTAGGTTCACACCTAGGCGATCGAGCGGGTTTCGGGCGTTTTCGTTTGCATGAATGTGCTTTTGAAAACTGCGCTGTTGACAATGCGTAGCGATGTCTATGGGACCCAAACCACGTGACAATCGGCCGAAAATACCTCCTGCACCTTTTTGCGCGACAGCCGATTTAATCCGCGCCACAAACCGCAAAGGTGTGAACAGCCTCCATTGACTTCAATGCGAACCTGTGTTTTGTGCAATATGGTCCAGCTCAATCCGCACGATAAATCGCCTACATGTGAAGTTAGCCTTAGAGAAAGGTGTACCAGCATTACAAAGCAATGCTATAAATTCTGGTTCATGTATAGATTACCAAAGGTAATCTTTTGGGGTTTATACATTTTATGATTAACAAGGTTCACACATGACCATGACTAGTCCGTAAAAGCCAACATACCTGCATAGATGCTTTATCAAGTACTGCAGCGTGGCTTTGTTTTCGTGAGGCAACTCCAGAAGCAGCGCCTTAAGTTTTTCCACCATAGCTTGTACCTCTGGTTCAGTATCTGGTCCTTTGTTCTCCAGTCGGGATGGCTTACCTGTCTCGTAGCCACGTAGGCTTTCCTTTGCAAGGCCCATAAGACCATTGTATAGCCGGAATGGCATTATAGGTTCAGGTAGCTGAATAGATGAAAAGAGTAAATGCTTAGCATTTGGTAATATAAAATAATTAGGTGAATGCGGTTACCCTGGTAGCCATATACGAGTATACTGACAGAGGCGGCTCTAGACTTTGTGAGGCCTTAGGCAAAACTCAAATGTGAGGCCCTCACTTACAGCCATAATGAAAAAAATGCAAACAATAATTAAAAATGAGCTGTATAAAATGCATATTTTAACACTAGCGTTTAATCCCAGCAGCTAGGAATCCACAGCTGCTAGAGCTAGAATTTTATTTCTGTCTCTTATCTAATTTTACAAATAACTATACACAAAACCCTAACCCTAAGGAAGTCATGCACATAGTGCAGAGGCCAGCAGTAAGTAAGGCACAGAGTGCAGAGGTCAGTAGTAAGTAACGCACAGAGTGCAGAGGTCAGAAGAAAGTAACGCATAGAGTGCAGAGCTCAGTAGTAAGTAATGCACAGAGTGCAGAGGTCAGTAGTAAGAAACATACAGAGTGCAGAGGTCAGGAGAAGGTAACGCACAGAGTGCAGCTGTCAGGAGGATCTGACGCACATAGTGCAGATGGAAGTAACGCAGTAGTGCATCGGTCAGAAGGAAGTAAAGTACAGAGTGCATCGGTCAGAAGAAGGTAATGCACAGATTGCATCGGTCAGAGGAAGGTAACGCACAGAGTGCAGCGCTCAGAAGAAAGTAACGCACAGAGTGCAGCGCTCAGAAGAAAGTAACGCACAGAGTGCAGAGGTCAGAAGAAAGTAACAGGCAGAGTGCATTGAACAGCCTTCCTGTTCCCAGGACTCCCGCTTTCAGCCGGCCAATGGTAGTGGTGCAGTCTTCCTACCAGCCCATAGCATCTGAAGTGAGCGAAGGAAGCTGCACGTTGCTGCCGAGGAGCCCGACTATTGAAGCGGGCATCAGAGGGCAGCTGAACCGGCTTTTCTCCTCCCCGGCTGCTGCAGCTACAGAGCGGCCGGGAGGAGAGAGATGACAGATGTGATCGCTGCTGCTGCGGCCGTTTAAAGGGGCCCCCGCCCAGTCCGCCCCTGCATTTGTTAGCGTTGGATCTGCCTGTGATGTCAAAGCAACCCAGCACCATAGCGTCCGCCTGGGTCGCTATGGCAATAGTTCAGCCACTGGAGGCGAGTTAGGGAGTTGCGAGGCCCCCGTGAGGGCGAGGCCTTAGGCGACCGCCTAACTCGCCTAAATAGAGAGCCGCCTCTGCATACTGTATATGCTGTAGATACCTTACCTGTCGAAGGTAAAGTTTAAGAACATTGCTCAGATCATGAGGTGATGCCTGAGAAAGTTCAACTAGTTCCTTGCCATTTTCAAAAGCTTGGCACAGCTTTTCCACACGAGTCTTTACCCCATTCACACGGTATATACCCTGTAGGACAAATACAGCAGTATAAACACGATAAAAGGTCAGCTAAAACCAACACAAATTAAAATGGTGTGCAGGAGATAAAAATACACACCTTCATGATCAGTGCGCGGGCTTCAATCTCAGAGACACACTTGTGGATGAGGAAAGGCACTCCATCTGGAGACCTTTGTGCTGCCTCCGAGAAGTTCCTGCCAAACAAAAGCAGCCGACCCTGCAATTTCTTGTGACCACACTGGATAGCCAGAGTTTCCAGACATTTCTTGTGACAGGCAAGGGAGCACTAAGGGAATAAAGAGTGACATGAAAATGAAGAGCACATGGCAAAATAAATCTGTCCTATAAGCACATCTTATGAGTCATCCTTCAAAAGAAATAAGTTTACAAAGATGGGCTTAGCTTAACGTCTGCCATGGCTAGCATGGTCATCATCAACTGCACCTGTATAATGAGAAATACAAACTTTTCTGCACTTAGCATATGGTCTCACAGCTATTCCCCTCCTAATATATATCTTTTATGTGTTATTCATATTATTATATATGTGTTATTCCTGAGCTCACCTCTTCACACTCTGCTCCCTGGAAGTACACATAACTGTTACACTCCCGACATTTGCTTGGTGTCCGCAACTTGCGCAGTTTGTGTGTTCGAGCAGCCCGAGATAAGCCGACATTACGAAATGGCCCAGTGGGCAGGGACGCTTCCAAAGCAGCAGGGAGACCATTAATGCCTTTATTAAAACAAAAGAAAGAAGACTGAATCAATGTATTATAGTATAGGTTCAACATTCTGGCCTATCGGCTGCAAACATCATCAAGATACCAACACGTTTTGAACAAATGCTTGTATATCTGTATCTAGGCTTTGTAATAAATGATACAGTTAACTGCAACCATGTTTCATTCTAAATACAAGCTGCTATGCGATCCGGGCTGGCTGGATCAGGCAGACACGCCCTCCAATCAGGCACTGTAGAGGGCCGCTCGCAGTGGCCTCGGAGAAGCCAGCGGCCGCCCGATGACAGCCGGGTGAATGTGGCAGAGAGAGGGAGCCAGGGGATCCGTTTAGCGGGGGTCGTCACAGCGCCCCCCCTCAGTCCTGCACCCGGGGGCAAGTGCCCCCGCTACCCCCCGGTTGTTACGCCACTGTATGAGTTCTGCTGTATAAGTCAGTGTTTTGAATTATATGTAATTTTAGGGTCCCTAGTAATACAACTGCATATTTTTTTTTTTTTTTTTAGAGATTCAATATGAATTTGTAAGTATGTTCTATGGCCAGTAGATGGCAATATATCATGCAGTATTCTGCCAACTTCAGCCAAAACTATAGTAGGAAGGGATAGGATCTAGGTCAGGTTTCAAAGAGAACCTCTGGGAATAGAAATATGGGGGCTGCTACTTTTAACTTGCTTTGTAAAGTTACAGGCTCCGAGGTTGTCACCCTTATTCTGCTTTCACTACTTGTTTCAGGTGACCAGGTCAGTGACTTACCGAGTACGCAGGAAGGACATTCAGACTTTTAGGACTTTAGCAGCTGGTGACCTAATGAAACCAGCATCAGGGTGGCAACCATACAACCTAATCATCAATAGCAACTTCATTTTCCTATCCTTACAGGTTCACTCAAGATATAGTATGCATTATCTATGTTTAGTAAATAAAGGTCCAGTAAAACTGCAAACATGTATTTACTTTAACACTCAATTAGGTTAAGAGGGACACATTTACATTTCTTTTTTGTCCATCTCATTCCCGAGGGGCACAGGACTTCAGAGACTGTTGGGTTATACTGCTGCCTACTTGAGGATTTAGACATTGGCAAACAAAACAAATGGTTGCACGCCTGAAATAGGGGTATATATATAAAAATACTAATATATACTAATTTAAGACAGAATACTTAGATCCTTGTATAAGTCAAATCTAATTGTTGCCAGATCTATGCATTCACCATACCTTGGACAATCACTTGTGCAGTGTTTTAAAAGGACTTGGCTGCTTTGGCACCTGCTTTTTTGGGCTGTCTAGGTAATGGGAATGTCATTACCTATACATGGCACCTGCTTTTTTGGGCTGTCTGTATACTGTATTTCAGTATCTAATGTACTCTGAAGCTCAGTTTTTTCAGAATCTGGGTATGTTTGTTTTAATTATGGGGTGGCATACCCTACTGAACTGAGTGGCAAATTCTGAGGGCTGAGGGCTGGCTGCTGTGTTCAGTTGCACTCAAGTTGTGGTAGAAATGTAAGCAGCTCAGGAGAATGACAAAGGACTTCAAGTCAGCAGATCACTGAACCTGTGCAAGTTCTCACTCTTTAAAGAGTTGGAAGAAAAAAAAATGTTAAAATCATGTGCATGTGCAACAATGCAAAGCTATATGGTTACCACAATCTTTTTAACTCCATCAGACACATGGATACAACAGCATTTGTAAAACCATGTACAATACATGACATTAATATATATATATCTCCTATATCAGGCATGGGCAAACGCTGGGCATCCAGTTGTGGTGAAACAACAAATGCAATCATGTATTTGTCTCTGTGAGACATGTCTGGGGCTGTGAGAATTGCAATGCCTCGTGGGATTTGTAGTTCCACCATTGGCCCCCCTGCCTTGCAGATTGGGTGGCTGGAGTTTGCCCATCCCTGCCATATATTAACCATATCTACCTTGTTCCAGTGATGTCAGTTTTTTATTTTCGTTGTCTTCAGTGGGGGTAAGAGGCTGTATTAGCTTTTCTGGGAAATCTGTAAGATGACAGGAAAGTTACAATTTTATACGGTTTTACACATTTTTTATTTATCAGAGCAAAGATGTGCTGTGTACACAGCTGGCAAAATAACATATATGCTGTACCACAGCCATTCACCTTCAGAGCCCCTGGTACCGCCCTGATTCCACTAAAGCCCAATTAAATTGCATGCATAACATTGGCTTGGCTTCTGCCACTAGAAGCAAAGATGTGCTATGTACAGAGCTGGCAAAATAACAGATATGCTGTTCAGCCATCTACTGTCAGAGGCCCGGGTACTGCCCTGATTCCACTAAAGCCCTATTAAATTGCATGCATAACATTGGCTTGGCTTCTGCCACTAGTGTCAGTGCTTGGGTGTGTCATTAGCTAACCCAGGCATCAGTCTCTGCATTGTGAGAGGTGAGGGAGTATGCATGTGCACCCAATATGAATAAGTACTGAGTTTTGCACAGGGCTCCGGGTGTGAATCTGGCAGAAGGCATTGTGACAGCAGCAACAGAAACCATATGGTGCCTGCCATTACAGCATCACTGGTACATTGCCTGCTGTTTACATTTACAGGTGTACTTTAAAGTCTGAAACTAGAAATAACATAAAACGAACAGCTGCCAGTACGAGCAATGAAAACAGATGACACAAGATGCTTCAGATCACTGGGTGGAAGTCAGTTAAAATGCAGAGTTAGAAAAATTACAGAAGTTTGAGAAGAAGTTTCCTTTTCAGACAGAGCATGTACGCAACATTTCTGTCCAAAGAAAAATGATGGAAAGCTTTGACATACAAAGGATCTTTCATAGCCAAATGTCGCCTATTTTCTGTCAGGCAAACGCTCTTTTCGCATGTCTATTTTAGAAAAAAATCTAACAATTGCACACAGTACACATAAACATTTCCTGTTCATGGAAACTTCGTTTTTACATAATCCATTGTATTTGCATTTTGCAAAAAGAAAAAAATCTTTTTCATAGAGAAGACGGTTACTGTTTATGGAAATCTTATGTAAGACTGCTTATTTGAAAGATCTTTCTGAAGTTTAATGAGAACTGTTTCATGTGTATAGGTAGCCTTAAACTGGAAAGACATGTTACAATCTAATTGTCTAATCTCCAAATAATCTCCTTGAAATAAACCATAAACTATATATTGAGACATTCAATTTGTATTCAATCAGGCATGACTTGCACTACAAATTTACTGGTAGATCTAAAGGAGATTGTATGGGGCCCTGTCATTTCTAGTTACACCCCTTGCAGAGCCCACTTAAGATCCCACACAGCCCACCTGAGGGCAGGGGCGTCCCGAGGCTGGGTGACACCCGGAGCAGAGTCATTGCGCATGCACGGTCGTCTTATTGACGCCGGCGGGGAGAGGAGGAGATGTTCACCCGGCAAGATGAGGTATGCCGCCGGGTCCCCTCTTCTCTCCTGACACTGTCGGCTCTCTTTCCGTGACCGAGTTCCGGAATTTTCATAGGGGGTGACACCAAAATGACTGTCAGTCATTTTGGTGTCACCCCTCCAATGGCAGCACCCGGGTGTGGGTTCGAGCTGCACCCCCCCACCCCCCTTGTGACGCCACTGCCTGAGGGTGACCCTGCAGAATCCACCATAGACTCTCTATGGTGGGCTCTGCAGGGTTTCAGGTGGGCTGGTCACACTCCTTATCTGTCCGCCTCCTCTTCCTGCACGGTCGCTGATGGGCACGTCTCCTCCTCCGTCGCCGAGACCGCCTCCTTCGTCACCGGGTCCCGTCTCCTTCTCTGCTGCCGACCCCGGGCCCCGCCCCCTCCACCGCCGCTGCTGGCTCTTACCGACTCAGCAGCGGCTGTGGAGAGGAACGCACCACTACACAGATCACTGTCAGTGATCAGCCAGCAGCATGAGATGTCATAGCGACCCAGGCGGCATCGGGGATGTCCTGGCCGGGCCCTCCTGTGCCCCGGGCCCCATAGCAGCCGCCTGGGTTGCGCCACTGCTCAGATTGTAATGTAAATGGTCAGGTTTACACTCTGCAGAAACGCTATCTATGAGTCAGCAACCAATACTAGTTCAATATTATTGGTGCTGCCTATGGTCCTTTGCTGTGGGAGAGTTCCTATGTATGATAACTGATTTAATGACTATGGCATATGCAAAGCAAAAGCCAGACCTGTTAGGAACCTATATGTCTAAGCACAATAAATACTGGTTTACATATACAGTAACTTGACATTTTCAAAACATACAATAAACCCAACCTCTTTAGAGTTAATATACCTGCTGCTTCCTTTCTCTCTACTGCATCTCCCTCAGGCAGAGCACTTGGCCATGATTTATGTGTCTGATGGCCTCTACCACCTGCAAACAGAATGAAGGCCAATAAAATTTTATCTGGAAATACTAATCATGAAAGAAGTATGGGAACTGCCACTGCTGGCTGTATTTTTAAGGTATACAAGTCTGGAGCTGCTATCTTTATCACTCCTTCCATGGTAAGTTAAAAACCATCTATTAGGGGTCAGGACATCCTTATTCAGAGTTACTCACCAAGTAGTTAAAATTCTTATAAGGCAAGGAAGGGTTAGTACCATTGTCAGGTTTTTTTTTGCTGTCTGGGTCCTTAATGTGGAGATTTTGCTACACTTCGTGTCCCGAAGACAGGAGGTCCATGGTCTGAGAAGTGAGAGCAAATCTCTTTCAGGGGAAGGTTAGAATTTATGTGGGGTTTGTATTGCTGCCTGTGCCTTCCTGTCCCATCCACCATATTCCCCTCATTTAATGTTGGGATTTTGCAGGGAAAATAGTGAAGAAAAAGCTCCCCACTGAAGTCATAACAGCAATAGCATTAGCCATTAACAAAGAATGACAATCAGAATTGCCTACTTTGGTCATACTGAAGCTTTGATGCTAACTGTGTTCTGTATGAACAACAGTAGCAATAACAAGAATGACAGTTGGCAGGCTGATAGATGGGTGTTCATGGGATAATGGTAAGAGTCCTGTAGTAAGCTGTGATGGCAATAAAATAATGCAATCTTACAAAATATAAACTGCAGTACACAGAACTAAGTTAGGAGAACATACTGTATATTCAGGGAAAGCCGTGAGTCATTCATTTAGACAACAGCTAATGCCTCAAACTTGTGAACCCTGGGAATCCATTGCAATGGATGAATGTCACAGTGCTACTTGGAATTTTCAGGGATTTAATATTGTGTTTGCCAGAATTGTGGAGCTAATGCAGCCTAAGAAATGTCTACAGCAAATTCAAAACATGCTGTGCCATTTTTCTGGACTGCTACTGACGTTTGCACCAAATTCAAGTAGCTTGCGACCGATTTAATAAATAAACTCAGACAGTTCAGTAATAAGGAAAGTGATACAAAGTAAGACCAAGTACTTTTTGCTGTAGTCTGTTGCACGTTTATACCATATGTGTCTGTTGCAGTATGCGATACATACCTCAGGTCTCTGTCTCAGACACACATGTGACACTTTGGACTGAGATGCGACACATCTATGTACTTAATCAGTGTGCATATATCTGTTCTAAAGTTTGTCTTGCAAGCCAGCGCTAGTTTTCATAGGTTTGCACCAAATTCATGAATGCTAAGCAGCCTTGTACATGAATTTGGCACGACAGAACACTATTCCTGTAATCCTGAGACACTTTTCTTATGTGTCTCAAAAATACTCTTTTTGAATTCCCCTGATTGTGTTTCTTACTACAGCCAAAAACAAAAATCAGCACTGTCAGGTTTGAATGGTATTATGAAACCCATACAATAGAATCACTAGAGCAGTGCAGGATAAACAGGATTTGGAAAAACGGTGATATACAAGCTGCGTCAATACATACATTTAAACAATACTACTGCCTCTCTCTAAAGCTAAACAAGGACATGAGTCTATATATGTCTATGAAGGAGGGAGGAGGCCAGCACCATAACTCAGGGGTAACAGTAAAGATCCGGAAGAAACATCCAGCCTGTCCAATCCACTGTTCCTTTGAGATTGATCAGTTGGGAATTTCTTTTCTTTTCTATGTACAGACCTGATGATAGTCCCTGAATTTGGTGACACTTTTTTTTGTAAATGGATACCTTTAGATGAGCACAATTTGACTTGTTGCCCCTACCAAGCACAAATACAAGGTTAACAGTTTGCCATTCACATGTAACACTACTGTGTGCACCTGTCTCGTCAGTTCTTACCTCTTCTCTCCACAACCTTCTCCTCTGCTGTAGGTTCCTTATTTTCTGTAGCAGGAAAATCCTGGGATGATAAACTTGACTTTCTAGTCCGAATGTATGGTGACCTAAATAAACATTGTTATTGGTACTGAGCTTTACATTTAAATTCCTATAACCTAAAAACATCAAACTCAAGGAGTCCTTCCACTTAAACATAAACAAAAGGAAGGAAAGCCAATAATAGGTAAGGCTTCAACCTGTTTAGATAAGTCTGCGAGTGATCTGTTTGGTCATTTCCAACAAAAATTAAATCCAGATAAACTGCAAAAATGTATTAGAAACCAACTTAGAAACAGTAAACAAAAGACCATTAAAGAAAAAGAAGCAAATCATAACATAATACAATTGCACACTAAGTCCACAACATATATGCCAAAGAAACTAGTTAACAGATCTATTAAAAACCATTAGATGACTAATTAATAGCATGTGTGGGGTAAAAATAGTAAGCATCACGTTGGTCCACCAAAACTAGTACCTAACAGGATCCCTTGTACTATGCATGAAATCATATTTATGAACTGCTGCATGGTTTTTAAAACCTTACTGGGACTTTAAAAACATCAAGTTATAACGTTTACTATTTTTGCTCAATGTGAATGGGAAAAGGGCCTCATCCAAAAACGTATTTGTCTTTTAAATGTTTTTAATGTATCTGTATACTTACTTCATTGACATCTATGTTGTGGCCTAGTGTGACATTTTTATGTTTTGATTTGTTTTATTTTCTTTAAATGTTTTTTTTTATTTGGTTTTTAAATGTGATTTCCTATTTTTAAAAAAAAACTCTTTGACTAAGGTAGTTGCCGATGAAAATGTGTCAGAGGGAGGGACCTAGGCACACTGAAGTTTTGGGATGCTAAAATGCTGAATTAAACGGGCTGTGGAAATGCAGCATCCAGAGTTGGAATAAGGCATGGGAAGAGCAGAGCACACTTTTGGCTTTAATCAATTTTGTCTATTTTTTTTATTCAAGATTTATACAGACTTATCTTCATACATAAGTTGAGCCTTTTTTAGCTAATTTTTTCTTCTTCCTTTTGGTGGTTATAAAGACATAATTGGAAGAATATTTTGCAACACATTAAGGAATAAAGTTATTCATACAACGTTATCTGTGGCGTGTATGGTTGGAAGTCATAGGATGTTTCCCTCTCCACATCGGCTCCTAGCTGTCGGACATATGATGCATATTGCTGTCCCAGGTCATATAGCTTACTGCTTTCACACAGTGTCTGGAATCCAACAGGCAGAGGAGCTGTTTCCTTGTGCATGCTTTGATAGTAGGATATTGTGGCCTAGAAAGAAGACAATCAAGAATATTACTGAGTGTGGGAAGAAGGATAGTGGCAAATCAGACTAGATGAAAATACCAACAATCGAAAAAGAATAGCTAATTAGGAACAAAATGAAAAAGTGTGCTGAAGAATATTTGAGATGTGGAACAGCTAGTAACAATTAGAGCTAGCCAGAAAGAGCAGCAAATAAGTAAAAATGTATTCTGGTACCGAACGCAGGATCTGGTCGGTCTGTTTGATGAGCTCTTGTAGGTGACGAAGAACATTCACTTTCACATCTTCCAGCTCCTGCTTTTGTGTCTTGGCATCTGCAATGCACGTCCGGTAGGTTGCCATTGCTTCTTCTGCCTGTAATGACAGAAATGTGTAGAAGAAAAAGTTGGGTCTGGCGTGACACCAAGCTATGCGATAGATAGATAGATAGATAGATAGATAGATAGATAGATAGATAGATAGATAGATAGATAGATAGATAGATAATCTAATTAGATTATTGCACCAATCTTTTATCTGTCTTAAGCTTTCAACCTTTTAGGGAAACAAGCTAAAACTGAAGCTGGCCATACACCAGAATTTTGTTTTTATTTTACCTCCACCTGCTTGATCGCGGTGCTCAACACATTTTTTCGACCATAGTGACAAAATAAATCAAAGAAGCAAATTTTCAATGACATTTGAAAAGGTTCTAACTTTCTGTTCAAGGGGTAGGTAAAAAACATCACTCGCAAGGGGATTCATCCATCCAATACTTTATTTGCAAAAAGGCATAAAAGCAGCAAACAAACGCTTGCATGTTTCATCCCCCAAAACTGGGCCTTAGTCGTAGTTCTGTTCAAGGGACACAGTGAAGAGTTTTTTACTTACTCCTCGTGGTAGGGCTAATATGCCACAAATCTATTTTGTACCACAGTGAACGATAATAGAAATATGTGTAATAAGTAGCCATGTCGATGTGATAAAATATATGTGTATACTGTATATACATTAGCCAAGCTCTACAAAGTATGAGATGTATTCCAGTTAATGTTCTGCATCTGTTTTCCTGCCTTTTCCCCAGTCTTACTTTGTTTTTAGCTTCTTCCTCTGCTCTTCTTTTCTTGTCAACTGATTTGGTACCGATGTGACTCTGCTCCTCTTCGGCACGTGCTGCATAGTACAGTGCTTTTTCATGCTCTTCACTTCGCTGCATATATGTCTGCTTTGACTTCCTCAGGTTGACTTCTGCCTCCATCTGACAGAAAAGGAAAAAATATTCAGCTGTATAAAGGAATAAGTCAAGGCAATTAACTGTGCTATATGGAGAGGTATTAAAGCAGATGCAATAGTGATTTGGCTCCATGTCCACTAGTGAATGTTGTCTTTTCCAAGAGGTAATTTGTCTAATCCAGCTGTCAGAAAAGGGAATGCCCATACAGGTGAAACTCGAATAATTAGAATATCGTGCAAAGTTCATTTATTTCACTAATGCAACTTAAAAGGTGAAACTAATATATGAGATAGACTCATTACATGCAAAGCAAGATAGTTCAAGCCGTGATTCGTCATAATTGTGATGATTATGGCTTACAGCTCATGAAAACCCCAAGAACCCCAAATCCACAACCTCAAAAAAGTAGAATATTACATGCAATCAATAAAACAAGGATTGAACATAGAACAATATCGGACCTCTGAAAAGTACAAGCATGCATATGTACTCAGTACTTGGTTTGGGCCCCTTTTGCAGCACTTACTGCAATTACTTTTGCACGATATTCTAATTATTCGAGTTTCACCTGTATATCTGCCTTAGTTGTATCATGCTCAAGTCTGTTTGTGGAAACAATTCTTCGGCCAGGTTGGATGTTTTTGGGCTAATCCCTATTGTTTTACCCCAGCATGACAGCCAGTGCCTGCAGAGCTTTCCCCTGTCTATAGATACAAACATGAACTAAAATAAACATGCATGATTGTACTGTTATCACTTTTAGGAACCATTGTTCTCTTGGCACCTTTAGAAATGTCCAGGGCCTTCTCATTCTTCCACGAATACTACTGTGTAACTATATACTATAACGGTCTATGACTATATAAAAACTAGTAATATGACATCTGACTGTTTATAAACTTATATTTGGTAGAAACACATAAATGGGACATGTGATGTGAT